TGGCCCTGACAGGCTGATAGACTGTGACACAGATTCTGTGGCAAAACAGACGTAGCCCTAATTGATTATCAATATTTTAAGCAAAGTGATGAAAATAAGCATTAAGTGATGAGAAAGGCAGTCTTAATACAGTAGGCAGTCACCGGGATCCGGGAGGTCTGCGGGGAGCTCGGCCCCGCTCACCACAATGGGATTCCTTCCCTTCCCTTCCCTTCCCTTCCCTTCCCTTCCCTTCCCACACCCCTGGCCCTTCCCTTCCCTTCCCCTCCCGAATTCCTGCCCAGCACCTTGGTGTTCCAGGCAGGGATGAGGTGCCTCCCTCTCTGCAGAGAAGGTGGTTTCATGTTTAGCCCCTTTGGACTCGGGGTTTTGGATGTTCTCCCTTTCCTGCTGGGCTCTCTCCCAGCCCTGTGCTGTTTCCAGGTGCCACAAACTGCTTCCTGGAAATGGTAACAATGAAAGAGACTGGGGGGAAATTGCCTGGTTGGAGGGGAAGGGTTTATCTTGATTATTACCTTGGTTACACCAAATGACCACAAATATCTCAGCTATCCTTTGGAATAAGAGAACGTTTGGGTTTTGCCTGTGTTTTTTCAGTTGGGTTGCACGTGACTGGATTTATCTTCTACCAAGAATCCATTTAATATTTGGGAAAACCCTCATGGCTGTGTGTCAGATGCTGGTTAGCTGTGCCATAACAGGACATTTATCCCAAAAGAAGGAATATTTTCTGAAATGCCTGAGGGAAGGGAGCTGATGCTGAAGAGGTAAGGAACAGCATTCCCACAGCAGGAGGAATCAGTGGGATAACATCTCCTCCCAAACCCTGGGTGTGTTCCCTGGGAGCTCAGAGAAGCTCAAAATAACCAGATTTGGGCTTGTGGGGAGTTTTGAAGTGTGGCTGGCAGGGCAGGGGAGGGGAGGGGGCACTGAGCTCTCATGCTCAGGGCTCCAATATCCATCATTAGAGTCTGGTGTAATTAAATTACAGGGCAGCAAGGGCAGAACTTCCCATGTTGGGAATTGGGTGTTTCAGGTGTAATCAGGGAGAGATCCATGGCCATGGCCATGGACACGATGGACTGGGCCAGTGACCACCCAAAACATGGATTTATGGAATCACAGAACCCCGTGGATTTATGGGCTCGTGGATTTATTAATCATGCACTCATTTAGGCTGGAAAAGCCCTCTGAGGCATCCCAGAATGTTGGTGGTGTTTACATTTTGGGTGAAATGTTACCAAAGGCAAAAATACAGAGAGCCAGCTTAAATCTGGGGTGATGAGAATGTGTGTGGTGGTGTCACTTCTCCTCTGGAACTGAGAATTCCCGGGTGCTGCTGCTGGTGTTCCTGTCAGAGGAATTCTCTGAGCAAGTGGTTGTTTGGAGTTTGTGCTGCAATTTGTCAGATGGATAACAGGTAATTTTACACGTCAGCCTATGAATATTCAGCAGAGAGGATTTCCACAAGCCTTGATACATTTAATATACCAGAGAAAAATAGCATGTAAATTAAACAGGGCCTTGTAAATTAATAATGGATTCCACTTGTATTTTTATATGTGAGCTGACTGAATATTTTATAAGTGCAAAAATGTTTGTGTTAAAAAAAAAAAAAGGTGAAGTCTTCCTGATGAGCACTGTGGATGGTTGGCTGCATTTTAAATGCGATGTCCATGTGTTTTTACAGTTTCTGGGCTTTCTTTTCCTCAGACACATCTTGTATTTTCAACTTTGAGCAGTTGGAAAGTCCACAATTATGTTGAATTAATTTATTTTTCCAGGCCTCTTGTGGTTTGCAGTTGTGGGTGTTCTGACACTCCTCTCTTCTTAATTTTGACAGGAAAATGAAATCTCCTTAGCAAGGGGCTGATTCTTTTCCATGCACCTTCCCTGCGTCTCCCCTGCCCTGGGAGAGGGCTCTGCTGCAGGGGCTCCTCCATGGCCACACTTTCCAAAATGCCCTTTCCAGCCCCAAAGCATCTCCTGCCCTGTTTCTGCCTCGGAATAATTCAGTTTTCCTGGTTTCTCTTAATTAGCAGCTTTGCTGGGAATGGTTTCACCTTGGCACGGTGTGAGGCTGGTCAGGATGATGGCATCACCCATCCATCAGGGAGTGACTGCTTCCCAAACTTCAGCACTTCCAGGGGTTCTGTGAGGCTGGTCAGGATGAAAGCATCACCCATCCATCAGGGAGTGACTGCTTCGCAAACTTCAGCACTTCCAGGGGTTCCATGGAATTGTTTAGGTTGGAAAAGCCCTCCCAGACCGTCAGTTCCAACCCTCACGTTGTCAAGAGCTTTTAACGTTGTTTGATTGCAGCTTGGTTTGAGAAAAGTGAATTTCTTTTAGAGCTTTTGGTGGCACTTGGGCAGTGAACAATAATATATCCACTAAATAATAATAATAACAGTAATAATAATAATACCAGCATTGAGGAGGAGGAGAAGAGGAAGGAAAGAAGAGAAAGGAGAAGGAGGAGAAGAAGAACAAGAGGAAGGAGAAGAAAAGAAGAAGGAGAAGAAAAGGGGGAGGAGAGGAAGAGGAAGAAGAAAAGGAGGAGAGGAAGAAGAAGAGGAAGGAGAAGAAAAGGAGGAGAAGGAGAGGAAGAAGAAGAGTGGACACAATCCTGTGCCATGTTCTCCAGGATGGCCCTGGTGGAGCAGGGGTGACCCACTGTGGTTCCTCGCAGCCTGGCCCATTCTGGGGTTCTGTGCAAAAATAACAGAAAATGGGGAATGTTTGAAGAGAACCTTCGATGGTAAATGCTGAAAGTAACTCAGAGTTCAGTGCCTGTTGGTGGTGGTGGTGCACAGAGCCCTGTGAGCTCCAGCACTGCTCTGGAGATTTATGGGCTAAGTTAAATTGTTGTTAATGAGCAATTTTGTGTGGAGAATTGTCCTCGTGATACTTCCTAAATTGCCCCATTGTCCCTCTAATTAACCAGGACTTGAAAAGCCAAGCTCTGCCTGGGCAGCAGTTTTAACTCAGGCTGGAAATCAGTGATTTAAAGTTAACAAAGACAAGCTAGAAATTTATTCATTGACCAGCAGCATCTTTCCTGTGTGTTTTAATATCTTTTTGCCACTGAGGTACCCAATGAATTGTTCCTGTGCAGCAACAAATCGGGCAGGAAGAACAAAGTAGCTCAGTGGAATAGATAAATCAAATTTAGGCCTGGTAGTTTATTGAATCTAAATTGTGCCCAGTTGGCCCACGAGCTATATGAGCAATCCATCTTGTGCTGATAATGGAGGGTCTTGAAATCCACCTGATGTTTGCATTATTAAATTCCAGCCTAATGAGCTCTGCTAATACATATTGAAGACAGTTGTAAGGAGCAGAATGGGAATGGGAGCGGGATAATTTGAAAGAAACATAAGCTGAGCATTTTACATGACTCAAGGGGTATATCTACAATTACACATATCACCAAAATTGAATTTAAATGGAATTTCTATTATCCCTGTCCTTTTACCAAGGAGAATAAAGTGTAAATGAAGTAAAAGTCTTTAGAGTTACTCGTGGTTTGGTTTTATTATGGGATTTAATAGATTCTTGTAATGATCTTCAGTGGCAGAAAAAGTTTTAATATTTCATGGCTTTAAATGTTGTGTAAATATGTATAAAATTGTGGAGATGGAAGCAGCTGTCAGTGCAGTGAGTGGATCACTTTGTAACACCCTGGGCAGGTTGTGCACTTTAAGGTGGAGCTGGTGGCTCCAAGAAGGAACGAGCCCTTCACCCCCCTCCTGAGCTGAATTTGGTTTTCATAAATTATTGCTTAATTCAGGAGTGCTGGGATTAAATATTTGTAAATCTGACTCAGATCTTACCATTCAGACCACAGTTTACAGTGATTTTCCTCCCCGAGAAGGCCTGGTGTAAATGCTGCATTCCTGGTCCTTGTTGGTTCTTCTCTTTCTGGCCTGGTGATACTTTTGAAAACTTAATATTTCATCAAGTATAATGTTATTAGAGACTTATTCTCACTTAGTTCACTCATCAGGCAGTGAGATGGCAATAAAAGAGAATGGCTCCTTTGAGACATTAATGCTTTGGAATAAATGATGTGCTAGAACAGAAATTTAATTAATTTACAGAGTATATTGATAGTCCCTTGTTACTGTGCTGTATATTTTTAATCTTCTTTAACATCTGTAGGAAAGTGTTTGAAAACCCCTGCAGTTGAGCAACTGGTAGATAATTAAGTAATAAGGGAAGAGGTTTCTAGAGGGAAAAAGATTCTTTTTCAAGAAGATTGTTGTAACATGGATTAAGTACTGCTGCTGTGATTTGGAGTGAAGAGAAAATTGTGTACTACCTAATAAAGTCCTGAGGAAGAGCTGTGTGACTCCCACTCTGAGCAGAGTCTGCAGCCCTGGAAATGTTGTTTTGTTTCTGTTTTATCCTCAAAGTAGGTCTGCTGGATTTCTCACTGTGGCACCAAATCTGCCCCTTCATGGGGGCACCACGTCTGGTGCAGCTTGGTCTGGGGGCAGCTGGGCTGGGCTGGTTGGGGTTTAAAGAGAGAAAACCTCTTAAAAGTGTCTTAAGGGCTTTGCTTACCCCAAAATGAATGTGGGGATTTGTATTGAATTCATATTGCCTCTGCTATTGGCCTGATATTACCCTCCATAATCCCATTTATGCCATTCCTTTACTGTGGGATTGACTTTAAATAAAATTAATGAAGAACCAAATTCTGCTCTGTCAGGTGCATGGATATCATTGTGGGGCCTGCAGGAAGGAACATGAAACTGGGTTTAAAGCCCAGGAAATATTGTTTGGGAAGTGGTTGTTGACAGCCCATCCCTGGCAGTGCCCAGGCCAGGCTGGACACTGGGGCTGGAGCAGCCTGGGACAGGGGAAGGTGTCCCTGCCATGGCAGGGGTGGCACTGGGTGGGATTTAAGGTCCTTCCAACCCAAACCATTCCATGATTCCATGATTGGATAAGATAAATTTAACTAATTCCAACTCTTGTTTTCTTCTTTTTAGCCAAAGCTGACGAAGCGTTGAAGGCCAAGGAGAGAAGTGAAGAAGAAGCCAAGAGGAAGAAGGAAGAAGGTGAGGAATTTTATTTTATTTCACAACAAACTAAAGCCCAGGAAGTCAGAAATTAATATTTTTAAGTGTCCAGACTCCAGTGGGGCTGTGGGATGTTCCTCCCTGGGCTGCTGCTGATGGAATCTGGTGCCCTGAGCTGCTTCCTTGCAGTCCAGCAGGTGGAATATTGAAACCACAGGGATTGAAATGTCAGGGAAGAGACATTTCAACATCATGAGGGAGCCAATCCAATCAAACCAGGAGCCTCAAATCCTCACTGGAGCTCTGTGGAGCTGGGTGGCCTTTAAGGTCCCTTCCAACCCAAACCATTCTGGGATTCCATGATTTACTTCCAAGAGGCAGCTCAGGAAAATTCCCCATTTTTGAAACAGCAGCTGCTGAGGATTTCACTCAAAATCAAAATGTTCTAATCTTTAGTTTGTTTTTCCTTGGGACTGGGGGATGCTGAGAGGAATTAATTGGTGCTCCCAGTTAATCCTGCTTGGAGAAGGTTCTTGTGATACCAAAGGAGGGAATTCAGGTGGAAAACTGGGATGGCCCAGACATGGCAGGAGGGGGAAGGGGTACTTCCAGATCTGACTGGCAAAGGGACCAAACCAAGGAGCTGTGCCCCTCCCCTTGGTGATTCCTGGGTTTTGGAACCAGTGGCCCAGGGGGAGCCTTTCCACCTGGAGGAGTCACCCAGGCAGGCTCCCACGGGCACTGGGCTTTTGGGATGAGCTGCTTGGGTCCCACCAGCACCAATTTGCAGGGAATGCTTGGAAAAATACAGTATTTTTTTGTGCTTAGATCCCATTGTGAGTGGCAGATGTGCTGGCAGTGGCTGTGCCAGCAGGGACTGGGAAGGGTGAGTGTGGAAAGGCGGAGGGAAGAAAAAAGGGGCAGTTCATGACTTGGGAACAATGGAATTTCCAGGGAAATGGGGAGGAAAACTTCTCTACAATTTATTCATAAGCCATGAAAACTGTCCTGGGGTGGCTTTGGAGGGTTCTGAGGATGTCACAGTGTTGGAAAATGAAGAGAAGATTTTTTTCTGAATAACTCAAATTCATCCATTTGCTGAGGAGCATTTATCCAGTGCTTTGAGTGTGTTCCCTTCCCTGTCCCAGGCTCCAGTGGCATCTTTAGTTTGGAAAAAGAGCATTTTGTATTTTTTCTTAGTTCTTCCTTCCTCACACAACATCTCTGGGTGGTTTTTGACCCTCTTTGATCTCTCATGGGACCCCTGAGGTTGGAAAAAACTTCCCACACCATTGATTCCAAACTGTGACTGAGCACTGAGTGCTGCATCCAGTCATTGAATCAAATAAGATAAAGCAAAATTATATTGAATTGATCCTTAAAAATAGTAATTTAGAATTTTTTTTTTAAGAATTTTTATTTCTCTAGTATTCCATATTTTATTTCCCTAACTAGAACCCTCCAAAAGGAAATTCCATCCTGTGTAGACAGCCTGTGACCCTTTTACTCAGGAGCTGCAATAAAAATAATTCTACAAACAAACCAATCCTTTCCCAACTCATAAAACCTGGTTATTGCCCACCCCATAGCGAGGGTGTCTTAACATTCCTTTTATTGTCATTTTATTGCCAAATCAGGTGTGAGATTAGACGTTGGGTGTTCCATGTAATCTGCTCAGAAATCAAATTATTTGACCTCCAAGCCCAGCGCTGCCCCTTCCCGCTGGTTTCCTGTTAAATATGCAGCATTTCCCCAGCATGAATAAAAAATTGAGGACAAATTAGAATCTACAGACAGCTGACCCCAGCTCCAGATTAGAGACTGGGGGCTTGTGCTGGTTTAAATGTTTTAATTACCACAGTCCCTCCAGCCCGGTGAAGGACACACAGCAAAATGCTGATTTTTTTTTTTTAAAGTGACTAAAAAGCAAAGAAAGAAAGAAAAAGGCTCCCCCCGCCTCATTTGAATTTTTCAGTTTGATTACATTTGCACTTCCATTGGAGCTATGCTAATTTGCTGCATGAAATTAGGTCTATTAGCAAAACCACTACTTTTCCAGGAGTATTTTCAGTGGTTGGGTTTTCCTCGTTTGGTTTTTGTTTACTTGCCTTGGGGCTGCCTGAAAAGTGACAAAATCCAAAGGGGATTTTGCCACCCAGCTGGGTTTTACTCCAGACAACTTCCAAATAGGTGAAGTGGACAGGAGGAAAATTGCAAAATAACAAAATGCAAAGGAAAAATTGGAGCACGTTGGATGATATTAGAGAGAGGTTATGGGCTCATTTCTCTTAATCTACCACAAATAATAGTAGTTTTAAATACTGAATTTAAAAAGCACCACAGCAGGGCCACGTGTGGGGAGGAGGAGCAGAAAACCAGGAAAAGAAGTTGTTCTGGAATGCAGCAGAATAGAAAACATGAATTTTTGGCAACCAGTCATTCCATAGGTGGATGGCTAGGAGGGTGGTGCTGGGTGGGGTGGGTGTTATCCTGGTGCCTTTATCCCAGAATTTGGATTTGCATTTCTCGAGTTAAATGCCTTTAACTCGGGATTTGCATTTCCTGGTGCCTTTATCCTAGCATTTGCATTTCCTGGTGCTTTTATTCCAGAATTGCATTTCTCAGTGCCTTTATCCCAGAGCTTGCATTTCCTGGTGCCTTTATCCTGGTGCCTTTTTCCCTGAATTTGCATTTCCCAGTGCCTTTATCCCAGGATTTGGATTTGTATTTCCCAAGTTAAATGCCTTTAACTCAGGATTTGCATTTCCCAGTCCTTTTATCCCAGGATTTGCATTTCCTGGTGCCTTTATCCCAGGATTTGGATTTGTATTTCCCAAGTTAAATGCCTTGAACTCAGGATTTGCATTTCCCAGTCCTTTTATCCCAGGATTTGCATTTCCTGGTGCCTTTATCCCGGGATTTGCATTTCCTGTTGTCTTTATCCCAGAATTTGCATTTCCCAGTCTCTTTATCCGAGAATTTGCATTTCCTAGTGCCTTTATCCCAGAATTTGCATTTCCCAGACTCTTTATCCCAGAATTTTCATTTCCCAGTCCCTTTATCCCAGGATTTGCATTTCCTGCTCCCTTCATCCCAGGCTTTGCCTTCCCGTGCCGGCCCGGTGCTGAATTGATTCATTCTTCCCCCCCACCCCTGGTAAGCTCTGCAACATTTTGATAAACTCCGGGGAAATAAATTTGGCAGAAAATCAGCAGGAGTAGATTTAATTATCGCTCCGAGACCTTTCCCTTTTCTGGCTTAGTGATCCCGAAACTCCGCGCCTTCCCCGGGATCCGCGCCCAGCTCCGCTGCCCAATTTGTCCCTCCACGCCGTGATAAGCCAAGCAATTACTGGTTTATTGATTTTTCATCAGGGCAAATTTAAAGTTGATTTTTTTCCCTGCAAAGGCAGGGGTGATTAAGTGTTTCCCGTTGGTTTAGTCCCGGAGAGCTCCGTGGCAGAATCCAATATCCTGAGGTCAACCTCTGCAGGGAGATAATTCGGTGTCTTGGCCACGTGTGAGGGAGACGAATCAGGGCTACAAATGTGAGGGGATATCTGTGGAGACAGTTTAATTTGTTCCATTTATATGAACAAGTCGTGTGGCACATGCTTGGAAAATATCATTTTGAATAGGCTTGGAAATGAGGCCCACGTGGGCAGGGGGAGGGAGGGAGGGATGCAAACGAGAGCGGGAATGTGGCTGGGAGACAGCTGGCCCTTCAGCAGGGAATAAACCCCATCCCCGAGGGTCATTCCTGGCTTTTGCTGAGCTCTCTGTGCTGCTGGCGTGACTTCCCTTCAGCAAAAGTGAAATTCTGCAAGTCTTCAGGTCCCTGCAACCCAAACCACTCCATGGTTCTGTGATTTTGAGTGATGGAGGGGTCACGGAAGCAAAGTTAGAATGTACAAAATACCTGTAGGACTCCACTTTTAGAAAATCCGTGAATTATAAACTCTATGAACCCAAATTAAAAGTTTTAATTTTTTTAAATACTCATCTTTAACCTGCTGGCCAGGAGTTCTCACATGAAGAATCTCACCCATGGCCACCACAGAATACCCTGAGCTGGACGAGGCCCACAGGGATCGTGTGCCCAGGACACCCCAACCCACTGATTTCCCTTCCCACTTCCTTTAGAGGGAGTTAAAAGCCCTTCCCTGGGTGTAATGGATATTAAACCACAGGTTGGACGTGCCAGGAGAAGATTTGCTGGGGTGAGGTCAGTCTGTAATAAGTTAAAGTGCTTCACTCAGCCCCAGATTGGGATGCCCTGAAGTTCATCAGTTACTGCCCGAGCTCCTCATTTATCTTCAGTAAATTTTCCTGGAGTTTATTGTGGTGGCAAAGACCAAACTCAATCTGTTTAACCCCCAAATTATTTAATACAGATAATACATTTAGATGAAGACATGGATTGTTTTTCCCTGCCTCCCCAAAGCTGGAATTTCCAATATTGCTCGTTTTTGCCTCAGTAGAGGCAGGTCTGGAGCCCGCCCTGGGTGTCCCTGGTGTGCCAGTGTCACTCATTAGGCTGACACCAACACCTGGTGTTGTGCTGCTGCTCCCACGGGGCTGTTCCAGCAGCTGGCACACGCTGGGATCTGCTTTCATCTCTGTTCAATCTTCACATTGCTGGGCTGGGATTGAAAGGGGGCAGCAACAAATCAAGGGGAGAACAAAAAATGCCAAGTTTTGGTGCAGTGGCAGTGGGGCTGGTTGGGAAGAGCAGCCACGTGAGGAAATGAGAGAAGGGAAGGGGAGTTTGGGGTCTTGGCCACTGTGTGTGTCCAGAGCTGAGGAAGGGGCATTGGAGAGGGGATCGATGGCCCCCAAGGATAACGGCTGCTGGAGGAATCAATTCCTGGCTTTTTATTAAAGCTGCTGTAATTAATAATCACTTCTAAATGAGTTCCTTAAATTTTGCCCTGCTTTGTGCCTGCCCATCCTCTCCTGGCCCTTTGTATAGCAAAGTTCCCTCTTTGGCTTCCCTGCTTTCCCTGGAGAGGATCCCAGTGTGATCCCAATGTCCTGGAG